TGAAGACTGGAGTAATGATGCTGAAAATTCAGCTGCACATCACAGGAATAAATTACATCTTAAAATATATTACAATAGAAAACAGTTATTTGAAATTGTAATAATATTTCACAATTTTACAGTTGTTTTTTTTTTTGTTACTGTATTTTGACTTCTTTCAAAAAAATCTTGCCAACTCCAAACGTCTGAATGGTAGTGTATTGGTTTCTCCATCTCAATTTGGTCATGTAGATACAGGATATTGTGCTATGTGGAGCTCTTTTAAAAAATCGAATTGATTAGAAACTACAGTGGTGCTGAAAGTGATATTCCAGGTTTTTAGAACAAGGTATATTTTAAGTTAAATGCAATAAAAAAACTTGCATCTGTTGGATGTGTGTGAAAGTGTATGAATCTCAATGTAATATGATTGCAAGATAATCCATGTACAATAACACACACACACACACGTTACATATATAACAAAAACACAACCAGCAACTAACATTCAAGCAATTTATTAAATAGAAGAGAGGCAACTGCTGAGGGCAGCCTCAAGTCATATTGTCTTTGAAAACATAAAAACAGCATTAAACTTTGGCTTAAGAACATGGTTAGCGTAATGCAGGAATAAAAACACAAAAATGTGTTGACAATCTTTATTATTGCATAAATATATCCTGTACTGTCTGCATCAGGCACCTCAGAGAAGACCTTCAGACTCCTGGAGATGCACATGCACTGAAAGAACAAGAACAGGAATATCTAAAAACCACATACACACAGTAAAGCACAATATAGACTGTAATAAAACTGATATACTACGTGTACCTGCACTCAGTCATCATCATCATCATCATCTGGGACGAAGATCTCATGTTCCTCCAGAAGAGCAGCGAAATTTTTACTGATCAGATTTCCGACATACAGGAACGGAACCACCACTATAGCCATGCGGGTCAGACCGAACGGGACCTGCACAGACATGACAGAAGTAGATCAAATTACACAATAACTAATAATAATAAAAATAATAATAATATGTGTCCTGATCGAAAACTGTACAAACGGCGTTTTGTATAAACAGCAAGCAAAAAAATAGGAAATTGGTTAAACTGATATAAATAATAAATAATTACTTAAATAATTGATTTTATAAACAACCGTACACGAAGTACTTCCTCGTTTTATAAAATATGTGCCGCTCCAACAATTTGATTGGCCCTTAGTCATGTCAGTCAAGCCAATCTTAATTTTCATTGGCTAGAACGAAACCCATCCCTGGTTACTGCGTTCCTTCGGGAGTCTCCAGCGGCAATGTTTAGACATGTATAAACGCACCTTAACTGGTTTAGGAGGGACAGCTCCCGATGTGGTTGACACGGCGGTTCGGCTGAAAATCGCGTTTACTGAATTTGGGCCAGTGTTGCGGCTCAGTGTTGCTGTATTTCTAATGAAAAAAGCCCGAGAGAGACGACCTGCCAACGACGCCATGTTTCCTGCTCGTGCCGTGCGTTTAGAGACACGCCCAGTAGACCCGCCCCTTTTGGATTTGTAATTAGGGGGCGGAGTAAATATGCGTATTGTGAAATATGCGCACCTCCCGTGCGGTTACTGAACTCAGCTAAAGATATTTATACTTCTGTTACAGTGATTTTTATTTAATAGTTGTATTCATTTTATTAGTTTTTTATTATGTCTACATAGATTTTTTATTAAGTTTTAGTTTTATTTAATTTGAGTTATTTCAGTACTTCAACATACAAAATGGAAATGAAATTTTATATATATATATATATATATATATTGAATGTATTTATATATATATACATGTATATGTATATGTGTGTGGCTGTACATACACATGTAAGTTAGTTGTTTTTTTTGGTGTTTGGCTTAGTGTTATGTTAGAATCATTAATATTTTGAATTGTTTTTAGCTTTATTTTTTTGTTTTCATTTAAATGTTTAGTTTTGAAATGTTGTATGCATTTGTCATTTTTATTGAATTTATTTTATTTTATTAAATGTGTATATATATATATAGTATTTATAGAGTTTTAGCTTTTAGTTTTAATTACTTTTTCTTATTTGTAAGTCTCTTTGGATAAAAGCGTCTGCTAAATGACTAAAAGTAAAGTAAAGTATTCAATTATTATTATATAGTATTGTATGTTTTACATTAGTAATAAGCTTAATAATGGCTTGGGACTCTACATGTATATAACATATTCAGAAAATGGCAACTTTATCAGTCTCCTTTATCAAAATCTCCTTTATCAGTCGTAAAGGAGAGGGAGGGATTTCACACAAACATTCATGTATCAGCTGTTTCAACTGAGACTCACCTTCAGATCACAGGTTTAAAGTCCTCTACCCCACGGTATACATGGTAAGTATGATAAGTCTTGACAATAGCATAACAATATCCTCCTGAGAACCAGGCCAAAAAAAAGTCTTGTGATTTTTTTTTAAATGTCATTACATTGATTGGAGCAAGAAACAAATGGAGAAAAAATATTTTGGAAAAAAATATTTGATTCATATTGTATTCTATGTCCTTTGTAGAGGACGCCAGGACTCAGTTATTAAAATAAAAAATAGACATGAAAAGCCATGTATAGGCAAAAACAATATTACATTTTTTTTCATTCACCAATTTTAGGTTTCAGGCTATTTTTAGCCACACTTTGTACAAAGATGATTCTCAGCTATGTTATGAAAGATATAACAGAATGATTTGATATACTATTTTACTTCATGCAATATCTGCGTAAAATGTCTATACATTGGTATTCCCATTTTATTCAGTTTATTTATAGATTGCATCTAGTTTGTATATCAATGTGAATTCTTGTGTCAAACCATAATGAAAAAAGAAGTGTAATAATGGGAGTAATAACTTGGCATCATTTTCCTCAAAATATCTCATATTTCATAGGAATATTGATCTATAATTTCTTGTTGTGTCTCCCCAAAATGCCTGATTAACATGCCATTTGTCCTGTTGTCCTCTACAGAAGACATGTATGAAAAGTATGCCCTGTTTCATAACAAAAAGTCATATTCCAATTTGAAACGCCATAACATTTTTCTGAGATGTTTATTTACGACAAGCAATTTGAAAAATAGCCAGATTTAAATGATCATTACAAAATAGTATCATATTTCCCTAAGAGTGCTAAATTTGATAATTCTGTCAATATCAGTCATATTTAAAGACCAAGGAGAGGGAGTGTTTATGATCAAACCTCCAAACATTTGATATCTCTAAAAAGCCTGTGGCATGTAGGGTCTCAGAGAAATTCACGACAAAATCAGGAGAAGGATATGACAGTGTGACACAAATGTATTAATTAATTAATAAACTTAATTAGTATTCATTCATTGCCGAAGTGTATTTGAAAGTCATAATGTAAAATTAAATTGAATAGAATATTAAATATTAAATACATTATAATTTTATAATATTTAGGCTACTGCAGTAGGTAGATTGAGACGACGTTGACATTATGTATGAGATTAGCAGACTAATCAGAAACCTCATAAAATATGAACCCATTTACAAACAAGTATTTTGAAACACTTTATATACACTAATTGTAAAAAAA